CGTATCATAGTCAAGCTTTAAGAACCCTGCTAAACTTTAAGTTTTTTCATTATCCGTAATTTCACTGTATTCTTGCTTCACATTAACCAGATAAAAACCCTGCATATGTAGCCAGCTGCAAGAATGCAGCTCTTTATTGCAGGCAGACATACGCTTGCTCGCGAGTTGCGTATGGCTGTCGCCATCTGCATGACGCATCACTGCCGCTCGTAAAACTTGACTCTAGTGTTGTTCGGCAGCCTTTCCTCCTCTCACGGTCCTAAGCATACAGGACACATCTTCACTGTGTCCTGGGTCTAAGTGTCCTGCTGCAGACAATAGAGAGGAAAAGACACAGGTTATGTATCAGGCTTTTATCACGAGAACGTTTCGCTATCTGTAATGTATCATTAGGTCATGTTTCCTTGTGTGTAGATCTTTATCAAGTAATGTTTGAATTTGTCTTTATCGATGTCATAATTCGTCATGTTTATAGCTTTATCAAGTCAAGTTTTTCGCCCTGTTCAACCATTTATCACGTAATGTTGGGTTCTATGTAGGTCTTCATCAAGTCATGATGAAGCTCCACAAAGAGCTCGTTCAGCAACCCTTGTCCTTTGTTTACTTTGTCCTCTTCCAATCTTCCTCCTGAAAGTATTGCTCCTCCTGGTGTGGTATTGAGTCCTGTGTCCACTTTTCAGAATGCAGTGCATGACGAGACATGGCCGCTTTCCAAACTCCCGAAGACAAATATTAGTCTTAGCTCGGGTTCGCAATGATTCCAGCTTCACTGAATCAGTAGTGCTGAAGAAACGACGGTGTAGAGAGTTGGATTTTGGCAATAAACTGGTGTTTTGTATGTTTGGAATGAGGGCGCTGCTTAATTATTTTTTTCTGAAAGTGTTGTATGAGTCTGTGTGAGTGTGAGTGTGTTAAAGGGTAGAGGGGTATGTGTGATTAGTGTGTTGCGGAAGAAAGAGTGCGTGTGGGAGAAGAAGGGTGTGTTTGATGAGTGTTGGGGGAGATGTGTTTCGAGTGTGTTAAGGAGGGGAAGTGTTTTTTTGTGTGTATATGTGTGTACTCACCTATTTGTGTTTGCAGGGGTTGATTCACAGCTCTGTGTGTGTTGGAGGGAGGGGGTAGAGGGGGAGAGGTAAGGTTAAGACCCTCCTGACGAAGGACGAGACAGCGACCTTCTGGAGCAGCAATATTGTAACTATATTTGCGTCCCAGGGGAGGTTCTGCAGATATGTCTCCTCCAGTTTATGCTACAGCCCCTTGGCTCTCCATCTCCCTTCCAAACCACCCCTCCCATCCTTTTCCTCTCCACCGTCCCTAACACACACCACACACACACACACACACACACACACACACACACACACACACACACACACACACACACACACACACACACACACACACACATACACCAAGAGTCATGGTTATGACTGATTAAGCGGTCGCTAGGAACGACTGGCTGGCTGGACGGGAAGCGATGGAAAGACCTTCGAAGCCTGCCACACAAATCAGGTAGCATCAACCGGTCACACAAATCGGACAACATCAACTGGTCACACGAATCAGACAGCATCAACCGGTTACACAAATCACATGCGAACAAACATCAAAAACTTGAATAAGGAACTCACAACTTACCCACAAACTGGAAACACAAACTGGGCGACATTTCGGCTAATATTGGAACAGTAAATAAACGCAAATATGAATGAGCTATGAAACCATGCAGTTATATTAAATTTAATATCATACATCATATAACCCTTCCTCTGAAGCTCATTACTAGCAATCTCTTACTTAAATCAGTTACAAAGTCAACTGATCGAGAGGAAAGTTCTCGCTTAACGGCTTAGTTACAAGCAGGTAGACACACAGACAATGGTCAAACTAAATGCAAATTGAGTGGTCAGCCTTCACTTTCTTGTATACATTGTACTTGATTGTTCATTTACTGGAGAATTTATTGATAGACAGTAGACCAACCTGTGTGATATGTCAAAGTATCTTATTAATGAATATAAGAGGCTGGATAATATGCATATATCCTAGTTCTGTTGGTAGTATAAATCCAGAAGTTTTTTTTGTTCAATATTAAGAGGCTTAATTCTAGGCGTTTTTTGTATACATATGTTGTTGCACAACAGTCTACATGATGGATATTGCACAATAAACTAGCCACTATCATCCACAGGATGGATATGGGGTGCACAATGAAATAGTGACTTTTGAGGCAAAATCTAAATCTCCCTTTTACCTCCTTCGCTCATAACTTCCATCCACATACCTTACTCCCCCTAGCTCTCATTTCCCTCCCTGTCTATTTTTAAATTTCCTCTCCCTACCTCTTTTCTTTATTCACCCCTCTCATTCCATTTACCCATCTTTCTCCCAGCTCGTCTTTAGTCTCTCTCCTTCCCCCACCTTATCCTCCTTTCACATTCTCTTCTCCCTTCCCTTTATTTCTCTCTACCTAATAACGGCAACTCCCGAGTACCCCGTTGTTCCATCAAGGGAATGTTACACACGGCAGCCTCATTAATTTTATTAATTAACAAGGAATGTCAGCGGAGCGTGAGCTGCACACATCAGGTCACTCACCTACTCCCAACACTTATTGAAATAAACCATATATGCATATATATATATGCATATATGGCATGCGTGAGCGTGTTTGATAGGAGTGAATGGAGACAAATGGTTTTTAATACTTGACGTGCTGTTGGAGTGTGAGCAAAGTAACATTTATGAAGGGATTCAGGGAAACCGGCAGGCCGGACTTGAGTCCTGGAGATGGGAAGTACAGTGCCTGCACTCTGAAGGAGGGGTGTTAATGTTGCAGTTTAAAAACTTTAGTGTAAAGCACCCTTCTGGCAAGACAGTGATGGAGTGAATGATGGTGAAAGTTTTTCTTTTTCGGCCACCCTAGCCTTGGTGGGAATCGGCCGGTGTGATAATAAAAAAAATAAAATAATATATATATATATATTATATATATATATATATATATATATATATTATATATATATTATATATATATATATATATATATATATATATATATATATATATATATATATATATATATAAACATGAATACATTAGCACAATATATCAAAGACTATGAATTTCTTCTGAAGCCGGACGTGAGCCCAGTGTGCAGCAAGCATTTCCTCTCTGGATGGCCACACTGAGGCGCTGGAACATGAGAGTGGCAGCCCTGGGGGCCCTGGTGGTGTCAATGAGTCTGGAACCCAGTTCCAAACTCAATGCTTGAATTTCACTATTCTTTCACAGTGGTTGTTTTGCTATATATATATATATATATATATATATATATATATATATATATATATATATATATATAATATATTATATATATATATATATTATATTATATATATATATATATATATATATATACTATTAAAATCTGTTAGAAAATAGCTCTAACATTTTCGTGGATTTACAAAGACTAACAGAGGGGGAAGAATTTATAAGCCTGGCTGATTAAGAACTAATTTGAGAAACTTGTAAAGTTTCCTTTGGAAGACGTCCCCTGGGGTATGAGTCTACTGGTAAGCATCCTTAGGGACGTAAAGTGGGGTGATGAAGAGTCTTGGTCCCCCTACGCTTATTACACTGTTTCTCGGTGTACTCATTGCTCCTCTGCTTTTCACTGGGTGTTGCATTTTGCACCGTCTGCTAACTCTTGCTCACATAGGAAGTGATTTCGGTGTGTAGATTTGATGTCGGTCCCTTCAGACTTCTCCAGGCGTAAAGTATGATGTATTTTCCTCGCCTACGTTTCAAGGAGTACAGATGGAGGTATATCAAGCGTTCTCAATAATTTAGATTGTTGACTAAATTTACGCAGTTTGTGAAGTTTCTCTGGGCATTTTCTTCATCTGTCAATTCGCCTGCCTTAAAAAGAGACTAATTAAGTACAGCGGTATTCCAGCTTTGAGGGCTACCTCTCTCGGGAATACCTTTCTCGGGGATACCTTCCTCTGGAATACCTTTCTCTGGGAGACCTTCCTCTGGGATACATTTCTTGGGGATACCGTACTTGTGGATACCTTACTCGGGGACTGAACACGTCAAAAGTACTGCTGTCTCTAGTGTCGTAATCCCCAGTATCCGACTGAAGTAGCTTGCTGCACAGGCAATAAAGATACCTAAGTGTTGCACTTTTGTCGTATGAAAGATCTAATAATATAAATAAGGGGAAGGTTCAAGATGCCGTTGATGAAGAGAGTAAGATGATGTAGGCGCAGGTGAACGAAGTAGAACTCTTAACTAACATTTTGGCCAAGAAGATGATGGGGGGGTTTTGGCTACAGAATGCTGTAGGGGGTAAGTTTACTGTAGTTGCGGAGTCGTTAGTTGAAGGGCCGGTAGCTGAGGGCCCATCACCTCACCGGCCAAGATACTCAGAGGCTACAGAATACTAGTAATTATTACTAACAGCCTCACTGTTTGGAGACTGGAGCAACGATCAGCGAACGAAGGATCGAGTCTCCGCAAATCCATTCGTTGAATGGCTTACACAGGATCCACGAAACACAACAGAGATGAGGCTACGTGAAGAGTGAGTTGAATGACTGAGAAATTTAGAGGATACGTAGAGTAAAAACTTAATATTTTATATTTCATGGGAATGGGAGGTAATGAAATTTGAAGCAAAGAATGGGAGGGTAACTCCAATTACTTGGATCAAGAGCCCTTCGCCAGGGCGGGGGTGGGGTGATCTTGGTGGTGGAGAAGCAAGAAGCATCACAATAGAGCAGTGATGAGAACAACAGCTAGGTACGGCAGACTCATAAAGAGAAGACAAGGGGAGGGAAGGAGGGGGGAATAGAGAAGGGCCGAGGTGCCTGCGTCAAATTGGGAAGCCCCCACACATCCCTCCTGTGGTGGAGGGGCCGCGCGACCCCTCCCCTGTGGTGTGGGGGGGTCGCGCGGCCCCTCTCCTGCCGGCCCCTCAGTGCCTCCGCGGCTTCTGTGCCAGCAGCAGCACCACCAGAAGCGCTAGCATCACCACCACTAGTGGGAGACTCACGCGCGATCAGGCTGGTGGACGGCATCTGGGGAATAGCTTCACCTTCTGGAGTGATAAGACGCTGCTCACAGCCGCGGTGACGCCCTTCGGAGCTTCCACCAGCACGAGTGGTGTGCTCCTTTCCGTGGCCGGTGTCGTGTGACTAACGTAAACTCGTGTTAGGTATCGTCACGCTATCCCATCAGGGCGATTGAACTCCTTTCCGAGAGTGATGGTCTCCGCCTTGCCTGCTACGGCCACTCCAGCATCCCAGAAGTGTATTTAGACTTTGCCGAAACCCTCACCTTCACTGTCGTGTTCTCTGACGCTAGAAGTTGTGATCTGCTAATCATTCCTGCCTTATTACTGCCCACCGTCAGTGTTCACCGGCTGCACCAACAGCCTGAGGCTCCCACAGTATTGCAGCTCCCTGCGTGAAAACTCACAGTTGTGGTCTTGCCTGCGCGTCTAGCCTCCCTTACGTTCTCTTAAAAAGTGCCTCAAGCCAAAGTTGCCATCCGTATAGCAAAGTGTCAAAGTTGCCATCCGTATAGAAGTGTGTCAAAGGCATAGCCAAAAGCTTAAATTTGGTGGTACTGTTGGAATCTGTTAGTGTTATTGAAGGAAAATGGACACGATGGTACAGGTACGGGAAAATAAGTTGGGTGGTACTCACAGAAGCTAAGTTCAATGTTGCTAACAGAAGCTAAGATCAGTGATATTAACAGAAGCTATGTCCAATGGTAATAACGGAAGATAAGTTCAGTGGTGATAACAGGAATAAAGTTCAGTGGTACTGAAGGTTGAAGAGCGAATCTGTATTAATAAATCCTAAGCTTAGTGATGAAACATACGTCCAATACAAATAACAAGAGATAATGTATTAAACTGAAGAGAGATACGCCATATTAACTCAAGTTCAGTGTTGCAGAAAGGAAACTTCAAAATATGTTGATAGTGCATAAAGATTTAGTGTAAAAGTACCACAAGAAGCTGAAGTCTCTAAGTTATCTCACGACCTGATTACATCAGCTGCATGAAACTCTGATACTCGGTGTACTGTAATGTTTCTAAGGGCAGATGTGGGCGTCCTATATGTGTGTACTGAGCACATCTTCAGGCGGCGTCCCTGGCAGTAGCATCAAGTGATAGCTGCAGTGATTACTTGTAAATATCACATGTTCAATTAGATCCAAATGGCCATGAGGATGTACTGAACCCACACATAAAATTCTGATTTCAATGAATGGCCAATGAGAGTGCGACACCTTGACGGTTCTCTTGAAAGACGAGGAAAAATATCAGAATTCTAGTTCTGTGTTAGTGGAATTTGTGACCTGTATAACTAGGTCAGTGGAATACAATACCTGCTATTGGCATGCTTCCATGTGTATATGTGAACGTTCATAAAAGTAGCTGTGACTAGAGTCTGTTCTCATAAGGTTCTTGCCTCGTTTCACGTGAAAACAGTGACCTGTGGGACGCGTGTGGGCAGAGCACCAGGTGGGCGTAGGGTCAGGTGGAGGGGGCGTGTCGCTGTTGCAGCGGGGGCCTGTGATTGGATGAGGGCGGGGCCTGGTAGTTGGAGCGACCAGTGGCTGGTGGCAGTGTAGCGAGAGGCTGGGAGTCGCGCACCCGTGGTACCGCAGTGAGATCAATGGCAACAGACTCACACGCGAACTAGGCCCATCACACTCAGGCCTGCACGTCCCACGCCCCACAATAACAACTTTCAGTGGGCATCACGACGTCGACGGTGCCAGGCTGTGGTGGCAGTGGCTCTTCCCGGGACTCTATTACCCTTATTTCAACGACCCTTCAAGCCTTAACAGAGAATCATTAGGCCTTATAAATGTTTGTGACCTTGAGTGCTACAACCTCGAATGTGATCTGACGTGACCTATATTTGAGACAAGTGCTAAGAGTGTTGTGTTGTTGTGTGAGTTAGCATGATGTCTTATTAGTGCTCGTGGCATCACCTCTTCCCTCTAGCTGGTATCTCCCCTCCCGGCTACATTCCTCCAGTGTCAATGTGAGTCTTCCCTCTCAGCAAAAATATACCTGGTCCACACAGGAAAATATATGCAGTGTTTTCGGACCAAAAGAAGTGAAGATAATATATAAAATATGGTGCTTGATCTCCAGTTGTAGTGCGTGAGATGTGTAGATTATGCAAAGCAGTCATGGCTTTCTGCTAACCCTTCTACGTTTGCATTAGCATCTTCAAAATCAAAAAAACGTCATATTTAAGAGTTTTTAATTACAATTGGAATTAATTTCTATTAATCCCTAATAAATGGCTTTCTCTGATCGACAACGAGAACGCCAGTTCACACGTTGTCACAGATGACGTGCTTTTTCTGGGACAAAAAAAATTCTTAAGTTAATGTGGAAGCCAAGACTGAGCTTCGCGTAGGGCTGAGATCCCCGGCACCAGGCGTGGAGCAGCACAGCCCACTGCTCGCCTGCAAAATTCAGTGAATGAAAATTAATTTGGTTAGTGCGGCCACGATATAACCGTCAAGATGTTGGATATCTTCCGCGGCCTCAAGAACTTTATCAAAGTTTCCCACGTACATATTGACTCATCTGTGTTCCGTCTCCACTACTCCATAACGGTGATGATTCTCTTGGCCTTCAGCCTCATCGTAACGACACGTCAGTACGTCGGGAATCCCATAGACTGTATCCACGCTAAGGAGATCCCAGAGGATGTAATCAACACCTACTGTTGGATCCACTCCACATACACCATCCCCTCGGCCTTTAATAAGAGACTGGGAATCGACGTAGCGCATCCGGGGATAGAGAAATCCCAAGACGAGGAAGAGAAACGTTACGTCAAGTATTACCAGTGGGTGTGTTTCTGCCTCTTCTTCCAG